ATCATGTTTTTGATCAATCTATAATGTTTAATCATCAAACTCGGTTAATATAAGAAGTGTTAAAAACTTATTTTAATGTACGTATACATCACGAATGAAAGTCTTTCCAAAACAGATAGAGTACGTATGAGAAATAGTTTGACTTTGTTTTGTAATCAGTAATAATGACTTTGACTGCACGGATGGCGTAGTGGTTTAAGCGGTCGCCACGCCGCTTCCTACTACGCCGAGTGTTGTGGGTTCAAACCCCACATGGGACGACACTTTGTGTGATCCACAAATTGTTGTTCTGAGTCTGGGTGTTCTTTGTGTCCGTTTCATGTATGTTTGTAAAGTCCCCCGCGACACAGGATTTATTCCTAATGCGGGCCTTGTCTTTAAAAAAAAAAAAAAAAAAAACAATGTAAGTTTTTTAAGAAATTAATTTTATCACGTGCATGTTCAATAAAAATATTTTCAATGTTTTTGCGCTTGAATTAGATTGAGTAAATTATAAAATAATGCAAGATTAAATGCGAAAATATTTATTTATTTAAAAGCTTTGTAAAGTACAGATTCCAGTTTCTGTTGGAAAAATTTTTTGGAATAAAAAACATCTGATGTTATGTCTCTCCTACAATATTGAAATTTCTATCGATGCTTTGTTAATTCTAAAAGTTACAAAAAGTGTTTACATTGATTGATGCCAGAAAAATGTTTTTTGTCTGATTAACACACTCAATTCTCTTGCATTGGTTTGGTTAAGACTTTCAGTGAAAGGTTCAGCCAATGCAACCCCCACCATTAGCAATGTGAGAGAGACAGATAACCACGCTCGGTGCTGTGTCTCTTTCTACTCGTGCTTCAGCGCCGTCACAGGAACGAGCAGACTATTTCTTATGTGAATATTTCAGCAACACCCAATATGTTGACTGGATAAATATGACGCTTAGACATCATATGTTGAAATATCATAGAAACCCAACATGCAACTATGGAGTACTTTAATTAATAAAGATTCAAAACATCTAAGAAGTCTTCATGTGTACACGCAGTGAAGGTCTGTTATTAATCAATTTCAGAATCTTACAAGGGCAATAAAAGCATGTAAATTAGACGGAGAACTTAAGTTTACGTTCCTAATGCCGGTTTTAATGCATATTTTACCTTGTACAAACTGCGGGACGACGATACTTTCAGCGTTATGGAATTTTCCGGGTAATTGTGAATCACCATACTGATTAATATTATTTAATATACCATTACAATAACTATAGCAAATAGATAGACTAATACACTACAAAAAACGACAGTGAATAAAACTTGCATAGTATTTTATTACTTAATAAGTTTTAGTTTATGAATCTGTAACGTTGGTTGCTCGGCACGCTCGGTTTGCATACGATAGTAAAGTCCTGGCAAAGGCAAAAGAACATCTAGTTTCTCAACGCCATGGATAGGTTTTCCTTTATTTTTGATCCCGTGCATATATTTTTTTTTAATTGTCAGTGTGTAATAAATAATCTAAGCCTAAACCTTTATGTGTATAAATATGTGACTAGCCCATTCATGGACTAAGATCACGCATCGTTTATTATTTTACTATATATTATATATTATACATTATTATATATTATACGAATTTTTAGATATTTTCATTGTTTCGGTATCAGACGATTTTAACTATTAGGCTAATTACATAGAACTCGGGTAGTCCGAAGTAATTAAAAATATACATTGCTAAAACAAACTACAGCAAACATTTGTTTTACGAAAGATTGTAAACAGGCACTCACAACATAATAAAGATAAACCCATCCGGGGCTGACGCACGCGCTCTGTTCAACCATCATCAATTAAATCCAATTTAGTCAATTTTATTTCAGCTTTTGCTGCAAGATAAAATTAGGTGTAATTATGACGTCAATAGTTTAAAGTAGACGTAAGATTTTCCCGCGAGAACATTATAAATGTAGGTATTGTTAGAGAGAACCAAGTTCGTCTAGCTCGGACCATACTTTACTTTTTAATTTTTTTAAAACCGACTTAAATCTGAGAATTACTTACCTTGAGTTAATCCTGATTGAGATTAATTTGGATTTTGTAGACAGTAACATTTGAAGAATAAGAATAATTTGAAGAAGAAATTAAATAAAATTAAAGGTGAATTGAATGAATTTTCAACAAAAAAGAAATCCCATAATGAATTGTGGACGTAATTACTATATAATATTTTTTATATAAACGCCGTTGTGGTCTCCGATTGAAAGTCATAGTATGAGTTTCACTTACTTTGACTCTAGATAAATTATATTGGGTGACATGAATATCAAAACATATTTTAAAGAACAAAACAAATTTAAACCTAACTCACTTTCGTTAAAGTCCATTATCATTCAAAAGTTTTATTAATTACACAATCGAGTATATTGCACTCGCTGAAATATGAACTAAATGATATCATATATATATATATATATATGTATATCACTTTGATACGTGGAATGTCTGTCGTTGATATAATTATCACGCTCTTGTTTGTATTCTGATAAACCCAATACAGACAGAATTACCTACTGACATCGCAATGCGACATCGCGGCTTCTCATGTTACTTACAATTTGATATTAATATTTATGTACTTAAATGTCACATGTATGAGACTTCATTCGGATTTATATTTCTCTATTCTCTTTTCGTTTCACGCCTTAAGATAATTTTAAATCTAATTGTTAAATCATTTAAATAATTATATATATAAATATATGTTGCTATTTAATAATAATAATGACCTGACAAAGGACAGTCTGATTCCAGACGAAGCAGAGCCTGTGCTATGGTAACGAGATTGCTAATAAACATACCTGTATACCTATACGACCTATACGACCGAATGGCGTAGTGGTTTGTGTAACGGACTGCTATTCCAAAGGTCGCGGGTTCGATTCCCGCTCAAGTCAAATATTTGTGTGCATGAACATTTAATGTTTGATTTGGTCTGGGTGTTTCTATGTATAATAAGTATGTATTTACAAAAAAATATATATATGTATTTATATCAGTTGTCTAGTACCCATAGTACGAAACTCTGCTTAGTTTGGGACTAGATGGCGTTTTTGTGAATGTGTTACAATGTTATTATTATTATTACCTATTTCTAAATTTTTACATATTAAAGATAAATTACTCCCAGATACGGAACAAATGATTGTGCTCATCACACAATTATTATCTGTCGTTAGTGAGAATGGAACCCACGACTTCCGGCTTGGCAATCAGGGTCACTATTCACTAGACCGACGGGCCCGTCAATAATATAATCAATGTTATAATTAATGTTTTATTCAACTTCGCTATCAGCTTCAAAATATATAAATTTATTATTTTGTGCGGATAATTGCGGCCTTTACTATGAAGAACAAGCATTTTCCTAAGCAATTCGTGTTCTTATGTAATCTTTAAAACCGGATGACCTTCAAATGCTATTTTTCTATACCTCAAGAAAAGTAGCATGTCTTAAAGTAACATGCTAGCTGGTATACAATGCAATTAATGTTGAAAGTCCAAAAGTCTTGTATAAAGTATTAATTTTTTTCCGAATTTTATATTAATTAATTAAAAATAGGCATAACAGCGTACACCAAATCGCTTTTATCTATACTAATGATACTAAAAATAAACTACATACTATTACAATTACAAAACGCAACCAGACAAGAAATAAGATAAAATTTGAAAACAACTTTACATCGACTATAAAATTACATTTTGACATTTAGATCAATATTAATTATGTTTTAAAATTTTGCTTTGGGAGTTAAAAAATAAATCTGCATCTGAACTACATTGAAGAAACTTATCATTACAATGTAAATGTATTTCAACCTCAAAGCCGATCAGTAATTATATTTATTGCTTTTAAGTGAGTAACTATTAATGTATCTTTATATACCGTTTGTTAGTGTGTGAGGATGGATCTATGTATGAGATGGAGGATGGATGGACGTATATTTGAAGAGATGGCTCTACGAAAATGTGTAACGTTATTCACTGGAGAATAGAACAATATTTCCTCAATGATAACACAGAAGTAGTAAGATAGATAAGATAATAGAAACACCATTTATTGACTAATAAATATTAAAATACATACATGTCAAATACATTTATGTCTTATTTCATTCCTTTTTATCAATTCATTTTAATACATTTTCATTCCTTTTAATACTAATGTTTATGTTCCCACTACGTTTAATTTCCTTTATGATCTGTATTATTATAAAACCTTAACAACTCACGTTACATTTTAGGGAAGATGTTGGACGTTAGCGAGATTTTAGCCTTTCTTATCCAATCTTTTCCTCAGTTAGGCGACATAGATAAACCTTATTACTGTTGTGTATTGTATTATGTGTATAGAAGTTGAACTTTGTCAGCCCCGTCTAATAAATGCGGCAAACTGGAGTAATTAATGAGCCTTTATATGGCTTCAACTGAGACTGGACGACGACGTTGACTCCTCGCCTTCATTCGGTGACGTAATCAGAAAGAAATATATTAAGTAATACAAAAAATATACAGAAATTTTTTAATGTTGTGTCGAAGAGCATTTTCATTTGTTTTGTATCTGGCTGTAATTTATCTATGATATGTGTGAGTTTACAAATATATAAGTATGTCGTCATGTCATCAGCAGTCTGGATATTGTAGTGCAAGCTATGCCTACTTTAGGATCAGAAGGCTGTGTGTGATATACGTCAAGTTATTTTTAATAAAAAAAGAATATTTCTATAATGATCCCTTCGTACCATGACATAAGTTATATTTTCGAGAGATCGATATTTATAAAATGCATTTTCACCATGGTCTAACATTTAAAATCTCAAATGAGGAAACCTTTTTTTCCTTGGGAACCAAATTCAAAAATTCAGATTTGATTGTGTAATATGGGAAAAGATACAAAAAGTTACTCAAAACTCATTGTTGACAACTTGTTACTTAAGTTAAATTACAATACTTACAGAAACAGACAGAGAAGAAGAGCTATGACGTGGGTCTTTGTCGTTGCCTTTCTCTCTACTTTTGTGACGATCACTGCCCTGCAAGACGGGCAGGTCACCTGGGAGGGTTCAGGTCCAACTGGCACTACGTTCATATTGAAGTCTGTAAAGAGAAATACGAAATATTAATGAGAATTTTATATTTTAGTACCTAACCAATTTGGTAATGTAGCATACATCCCAATAGTAACTGATTTACTGGTATCTCCATATACTTTAAACACCAACAGTATCAGTGGCATGACATTTGCTTTATCACCGTCTAAGTAGACTATACATAAAAATACAGATAAGAAATCAATGACATACTATCATATCTATTATATGAACACAAGGGTATTGTATATGTACGTACTCTGTTTTGTAGGAACAAAACAGAGTACGTACATATACAATACCCTTGTGTTCACTTAAAATATATAATTACAACACAAATTGATGATATAATTACAACACAAATTGATGATTAACTAGCTATATCCAAAAAAAAATTTTGGTCCGTTTGTTGAATGCATTCAAGGAGACGTATCATCATCAACAGCCTTTAATCCACTGCTGGACATAGGCCTGTCCTTACAAAGGAGACGTATAAAGTCCTACAAAAACTGCAAGTCATGTTTTGTTAACTGCCTGAATTGTACAGGCTCATGCCTGCAGTAATACTGCCTGCAATAATACTAGCGTCAAATGGATTAGAAACTTTTCAATAGCTAGCTACCCGCACGACTTCAAATATGTGTATAAAATGAATAACTCCTTGATATCTTTTAACCTTCGTGTGGAGGATTAAGAATATGGAGTGTTACCCTTATTCATCCCGTGGGTGTCGTAAGAGCCGACTACTTAACTCAAGACTCAAGACCAGAACTCAAGCCAAAGCCAACCCGTCTGCCCAGCGTTTCATAGTTGGCCAGTATCTCCTTTCTAAGCAGAGGCCTATGTCCAGTAGTGGACTATCAAAGGCTGTTGATGTGATGAACGACTGGTAAGAAAATCTGAAGGTTTGTTACAGGCTTTACAAGTTAATATGCTTCTGCGTATCGCCTGAAGGATAGTCATACATACAAAAACACATACCACCACTAACCACTGCACCAACAGGACCGTCACTTGCTTAAACTCCATGAAATACATGAGCACATCTAGTTATAACTTATTCCTATATATCGAGATATATAAATATATTCCTGTTTATATCGAGACACTTGTTAAATTATTCACGGTACCGACCATGTTTCTCATAAATATGTACTTCCTCAATTGTAAAATAATATCTTCGAAGCATTTTAAATTTACAGAATTATTATTTTTTTTCCATGTTTTTTGCATTATAACTATAACCAGCCTCTCTTATAGAAGTTATAGCTGTTCAAAAAACCATTTAGACAACACGACATTTTAAGAATTCATATAGTTTAAAGAGATTTTAAGTACTTTTTAATCGCTTAGGCAGTTAACAAAGTAATAAATACCATAGTCTGGCGATAGCGATGTAGTAATAGCCATTGGCGAATACTCGTATATTTTCTGTCACCCAAGTTTAAATTTTTGTCACTAATCTGGATTAACCTGTTTATAATATCTATATAATTATATATTTAAAAAAAATGTCATTATATTAATTAAAACGGTCTCTAAGTATGAACAATCAAAATATTGTAAATGTGTGTCTTGAATTATAGTATGATCATTAATTGATATTAATTACCAGCGATAATGAAGACAATTTTAAGTAAACTCTACATTCACTAAGATTCAATTTTGGTGATACTTATACTACCCATATCGCAACAAAATACCAATATTTGATGATTGATATACTTGGTGATTCAAATTAAGTGGGAAATCGATTCAACTCAATTTAAGAGAGTGTTTTCCGGCACAAATACTATTTATTAGATCGTTGATCATCAAATGTACTTTACATTTATCACAGTTATTAATAAAATCTTATCTTAACCAAACAATTTGTTTTCCATGGAACTTCTCTTCCATTGAAATTTGAAATAGTAAGTTAAGGGTGGAAAATTAAGAAATGAAGGATAGGTACAGTTTATTGCAATTCATCAAGGTATAGGAGCATATTGGGGTCGATGATCATTTTTGATACCTATCTTAATTATTATGAATAGGTACCACTTACGGGAGTAATTCTATTATGTCAGTTTTAGATAAATAATCATATAAAAATGGTACTCAGACGACGCATGTTCGCTATTAACAGCAATAGCATTTTGATAATATTTTAAATAACCTTCAACCTATATCTTTATTTCCTACGTTATTGCCCTCTGCAATTGTTTGAATAAAGCCAAGGTTACACAGCGACGTATACTGAATGAATTAGAAGTACATACTTTTAATCATGCTAACACAGAACAGGACTCAATTATATGCCACCAGCCAATGTGTAACCATTTATTATGCTTTGACTCGTCGTGGGTGGTACCTATGAAATGGCCTCAAAAACGTTTATTGATAGCTTTTGTATAATATTATGTAAAGCCATAAATAAATATGAGTAAGTTTTAGCAATATAAATTATTGTAGAATAATAAGTAAACGTTTTCAATGCGATTAGACGCGGTTACAAATTATTGTTCTAAAAAACGACCATGGAGTATTTGCTCCGTGTTGGTGACATATTTTAACAGTGACATCATACGTCTGGCTATGATTTGTAAACTTGTTACAACGCTTCTTCGTCTATCATTTTGTGAAACAGTCAGTCGTTGATAACCGATGTAAATAAATACTTGAGTTCACACAAACATTTGAGTACACGTTAAACTGTTTTGTCCATGACGCATAGCTACACATCAATTTAACATAAAGGGGGATCCCCTATGATGATGACCTTCTGTGTACGCGATAATATAATATATGAGTATGTTACATTCTATATACATATTTTAATAATTTACAAGTCTATTTTAACTTTAGCTCTTTTTTTTAAGATATATTCCGCGCTTGGCATATGTCCTGTGTCGCGGGGACTTAACAAACATTCATGAAACGGACACAAAGAACCCAGACTCAGTACGACAATTTGTGGATCACACAAAGTGTCGTCCCGTGTGGCGATCGAACCTACAATACTTAGCGTAGTGGGAAGCGGCGTGGCGACCACTCAAACCACTACGCCATCCTTGCAGTCGTGTTAAACACATATTATTCTTCACATACCATTGTCCCACACCAGATTACTACACCAGATTATCTTTATTTTGTTGCGTCACGCTTATCGTTATAGTAATATTGACAGTAGCACAAGAGGCAGTCTCGATCGAAGCGATTCGCAACTACCGAAAAAAAACTTGAAGGGGAAAATTTTACAATTAATAATTAAAAGTTGGAGTGTCGCACTGGAAAATAACTAAAACAAATGGGCCTACTTTATTATGCTATGGTGCGACAATATAATTGACACACAGTGACAGGAGAAAGAAACTTAGGGGCCAACAATTAGACACTATTTTTCCAACGCTTTGATACACAGCATTGTCAGTCTATTTAAATATGCCAATGATCTGAGGTCACATCAAAGCTATAACGTATGTACGTTTACACAAGTAAGTAGCATTTGATTCATGTGCTTACTATTGAAACAATTAACTGGTTTCCGTCAACAACACAATACAATCTCACGATTTCGCAACCTAGAACTCAATAAAAAAGCCTTCCTTATCAAGAGATACTTAATCTTTGACAAAGCGTACGTTACCAATTCAAAATAAAAAAATATAAGGAAAAGTTAACAATTACTTCGATCGAATGATGGTTGTAGTTTTATAAAAACCGGTTGTTAATGACCTTGTAAGAATATTTCTTCGCCTAATCTTCATTACCTATGATTGCATTTAGCTTATAACACTAGCGTGTCATCTGGTTGACTGATTATTAATCTCAGTCAAACGTTTTACTCATCATCATCATCAACAGCCTATACTAGTCCACTGCTGGACATAGGCCTCTCCTTTACGTTTTACGCAAAAATGTAAAATTATACATAAAGCTATTTTATAAACGTAATGTCCAGAATATTTGTATAAAGAAATAGCTTAATAACAAATAGTTAAAATTGGAGAAGTTGGATATACTGTTTATATAGTAAGGGTAGGCAGGTGATGCTAACGATGCTGACGCAATGGATGGCAAATAGAAAGATTATGGCATCAAATTGAAGCATCTCATCCACGGCAACCTTCATAATAATATCACTTAGAAAGGAATGCATGCATATTATGTCTGTGCCTCATAATGAAACAACAAAAGAATCAGGGCCTCAATTTTGCTATTTTAATATTGTATCAATTGACTGTCGATGGAATGTCGTCGTAATAGTTTTGCACTTCTTCTATTCTACTACTACTATATAAGACCAATGGCCTTCCCATGACTTGTCACTGATACAAAATATGTACATATACGACAAAATAATGTCGTCGATGTATCTGTAGCAGTTTGGTAAACGGTACATCTTAAATTTGTAAGAAAATAATATATTTAATTTTCTAGGTAAGACAATGTTCGGGCACGCCGTCATCGCGGCGGTAAGACCCGTTATGGAGGATTGGCTCGAGAGGCGTCACGGGACCCTCTCATACCGATTGACGCAGGTGATCACTGGGAAGGGATGCTTCGGGGATCACCTATGTCTGATCCGCAAGGAGCCAACGCCTGAGTGCCACCACTGCGATGGCCAGACCGTGGACACGGCTCTTCACACGCTGGCAGAGTGCCCGGCGTGGGTTGAGCAGAGGCGAGACCTCGTGGCGGCCATCGGAGTGGGAGTTCTCTCGCTCGATAGCCTGATTGCGGCTATCGTGCGGAGCGAGAGTGAGTGGAACTCTGCCGTCTCCTTCTGCGAGCAAGTTATGCTCGCGAAGGAGACGGCGGAGCGGGACCGGGAGAGGTTTAGGACTCTCCCGGTCAGGGCCAGGTACCGCAGGCGACTCAGGCGACGGAGGTCGCAGAACGACCTCCGTCCTCCATAAGTGCAGGCCTTGACAGGTGAGGCCATCTGTCACCCTAGCAAAAGCAGGCCGGGGTGGCGGCGAGCGCGTTGCGAAGCGCTTCCAGGGAGCACGGGGGGGTCGTCTACTCGTCTGTAGATGACCCGAGGTATGTCGGGGCACCAGGGACTTCCTTTCTAGGGTATACCTGGTTCCCCGGCTATTAGTACCCGAGACGGCGTGCGGTTTTAGTCGGTTCGAGTCCGACATGCCACCGACAGGTGGTGGTATCCGAGGGGATATCCGCACGGAATAAAAAAAAGGTAAGGATGTTGTATCTTACTATTTCGACAGTCTATTGACACTGTTAATTTATGTGAGTAGAATTGATCGAAGGAGTAGAGTGCTGATATCTTGACCAATGTCAATAGCGTCTCAATGGCATCTCAATATCGTGTCAATGGAATGACAGTGGCTTGGTGTTAACATAAAATAGCAAAATTGAAGCCCTGGTCGGATAATATCTCTGTATTTTCAAGCGATTGTCTTGCAACGTGCCGGTAACACATAGGCTTTACTAAAACGTATGTCTACTCGTACATGGTAAGGCTATACACAAAACATTTCAGTTGCTTAGTTTTGCTGCAATCTAGTAATAATGTGTAATGTAAGGAAACAAAACACTCGTTTCTAATTGTTGATTGAGAAATAAAGTATGTATTCATTACATTCATTAAAGGAATTAAGATACTGGCTACCAAAATTTGTGTTTGCGCGGTGGAAATCTGAAACTTTATTTACATTTAATTATATGAATATGGCTTTATATAAATTTATATATTTTTAGTTAAGTATATGTAGTTTACTCGTAATAACCTACGATCAATCAATTGATCAAAACCTTGCCAAATTTGTAGTACATATTTACTAGAACCGTAACTTATTAAGTTTGTGTACCGTCGGCGACTGTACAATGTTTAAACTAAAGGAACTATTTATCTAAGATCATCAAACAAAAAACCATAAAAGATTTGGATAATAGTGTTCTGTTTGAAGACTTAAGATAAGACTAAAACGTCGTACATCTTTTTTCTTGATACGGTGACGTAAACCCTTTTGTTTAAAGTCGTATGGTGTACCAGCATAGCCCGAAAACTTTATCACAATCAGTAAAATTTCAATCTATTATTAAAGGAAGTACACGTTAACTTAATGGCATTTTATTTGTTAATGGTTTTTTACAAATATGACTAAGGATAGATAATTTATGATATTAGTACGAGTAATTAGTGTTTAGGCTGACACATTTAAAATTATAACCTCACGAATCGATATTGCATGATAACATTGATAACGTACTATTTACATTTGATTAAATTTCATCATTGGATTTTAATTTTAAAAAAAATATATTCAAGTTATTTTAATGTGACAAAATATAATCCAGGACGATTATAGACTGACCTCAAGCCCTTGAGGTTTTGCGATGTATAATATACCTTTATGGACATAAGTTTCCAATCCAATAATTCTATTCTGTTCTGACCGTACATTTGACGCTTCACTACTAAACATACAAATCTTTAAAAAAAAAAAGAACCATATGGTAGAATCCTAAAATATCAACTTCCAAAACCAAATATGCATGATATACTTGTTTCCATATATTTCACGAGATACGTGTGATTACTTAAATGTTGGGGCAGACTGTGGGTGGGGCGTAACGGCGCCGGCGATGCAACTGAAGTGTCACCTTCATGTCAAGTACCTAATACATTAGAACGTCTTACATCGTGTCGCCATTCAATCCCTCCCCCCTCTACCCCCGTTGTTTGACTCGGTCGGTAGAGTTTAAGAATTGCACCGAAACAAGAACGCGTGTAAAAACATAAGAAACCGATGAGATAGTTTTGTCTCTGTCTGGTGAAGAACAGTATCGTGTCTATTTCGAATACTTTCCGGAACACGTGTAAGTATTATTCTTAGCAAATCGATGTCCCCTATTTACTTAATTTTACTTAGTTGTTGTAAATTTTATTTCATTCCTATTCATGTAATAAAAATTACTACCATTCTGAAGGTTGTCTAGTTGTTATAAAGTAATTTTAGTAAAACAATGTTTGCTATATTAAAATATAATCACGTAGGCAGGTACATTGAACTTGAACGTTCAAACCAAGTAAAATTTAAGACGCAACACAATATCTATTATTGGGTATGGTTCTTGAAAATCGAAATCCATTAGGCTAAATAGGTAAATTTAAAAAAACTAGTAGATGTGTACCGGTTTCCTAAAACGAGGTTATCGATATATTGCTCGTTCTACATAGCTATATAGAACAGGAATTCAAAGACGTTTATAACAGCTAGACGGCATCTAAAAATAAACAAAAATCGTGTTAAGATTATACTTCGGGGCGCGTCTTACACTAAATCGATGTTTGGCCATGAAGAATTATATATATCCACAACGTATGAACGTATTAAAATACCATGCAATAAGCCTATTCAAAATTACTACGTAGGTAAGTTAACGGTATTCCGCCATTTTGTTTTATATGAAAACATTAGACAAATTAAAAATAAACATTTGTATTCATTCTACTTTTGGGTGCGCGTGTAATATTTACAGAAAAAATATTAACATGGTATACTCGAATTAAAAGTAACAAAACTTCATTTTTAAAGACAGTTAGGTAATGTTTACTATACAACGATATGTAAACTTGATAACATTTTAACTTATTCACCTAATATAAACAAGCTTTATCAAGACACTGTATTTACATACATGAAATAGTAGGTACCTATAACAAAATCAGTTTACGAGGGCAAAACATTTACATCGTTGAATCGCGTTGCGTGACAGTACCATGCTTTTTAATAATTAAAGCCACGTTTACCACAAATATAACTATGTATATATACAAAGGAGTACCTTAACACATCGCTATATTCTGAAAATCAAAACAAAATCAACCACTAAAATCTTCATCACAAAACTTCTTAGAAACATTCTTAGGAATGATTACCTACACTGTTTCATGGATATGGCCAAGAACTCAGGGCAACAGGCAACCGGAGATTATTGTAAACATAATCCACAAAAAAACTTAAATCACTAAAATACTAACATATAATAATGGTACATAGTACCGAAATATTTACAGTAAATAAATAAACGTACCTCTTTAAAGATTGGACTAGGAAGTGGCAATATTTATTTTATTACGCCGAAGCGAGCGCACAGAAACAGTATCGACGCACTACTGGCGTTGGACCATTTCTAGTCGGTTGAGCTCGAGTCATTATTATACTCTTTGGTAGTAAAGTGAGTCATTCGTTATGGACGCTTCACACTTGTGCGCTTACTTTAATTAAATACATTGTCCACAAGAAAAAGTGAAGAAAATAACCGTCTTGTTTTGTTCAATTTGACCTTTGCCTCTAAAATTTAATTAAAATTATCAAATGAAATTTAATTTAGTTATCCAGTAAAATCTAGTAATTTAACATACAGATCAAGTGCATTCCCCAGACATGTTCTTAAATAAATTACTGCTGCAATTATCACTCCTGTCTGTCTGTTTAAGGAGACATAATAAAATGCAACTCAAAATGGAAAGACAATGTCTATTTACACATCACAATTCTCGTTTTTAACTCTGGGTTTTAAAGATAAATAATAAATATTATATGACCCATTGAGTCACCGAAAACAGTTTGTTTGCAAAATTGTTTGAATATATCTCATTGAGATGATTCCTGAATAAATATACACATAAGTACTTAAACTGGAAACCAATTACAAACTTAGTTTAATAAAGCTTAGGTCATCATAATTTAACATTGGTTTGCGTGCCAGACTACCAACTGTTGATTCAAGTCTAGATAACCTACTTAAAAGGAAGTTAAACTTTCGTTTGTTTCATTGAAGTGTTTGTATAGCATTTTTACAGTTTCAATTAAACCATAATTTTAATTTTAGTCAAACTTTTTGTCTCTCTGTCTCTACGTTTTCCCCTAATGAATAGAGTAATTTATGAAAAAGGTTTAAGTCTATAATTCTTTCAGATTTTAAATATAGTTTTGCTGTTATATGACATCGATGAAAGGTGTAAGTTTTATGGTTGTTTGCCATGTAAAAAACAGAGTCGTATGAAAATTATGTTTTTATATTACGGAATTATTGGTCTATCTGTGGTGAAATCTACTAACTATGACAAAAAACCCGGTTCGGTAATAAATAAATACCGTCATAAAGGTACGACCTTAAATTTTGCTAAATTAGATTTTTTTAACGACAATACGCGGAACTTGTGTGTGATACTACTATAAATAAATATAAATAAAAAGGTAAACTTAAAGACGTACAAATTTCTAAATTTTATTGAAGTTAGTTGTAGCTGTATTTATTTGTCTGTGGGAATTCTGACTGTTTTAAGAACACTTTTAATAAGGTTTATAAATATTTATTGAGGTACATTAGGCAGTTTCATGAAATATGTTCACTAACAAACATTATTTTCACACATCAGTAAAGAGAACATCAACATTTCATCAACAGCCTTTACTAGTCCACTGCACGACATAAGCCTCTCCTTAGAAAGGAGGTTTTTGCCTACTACACCACGCTGGCCAGACGGGTTGGTATAGGGTTTGTGTCAAGTTTTCCTTCTCTCTGCAGTGCTGTGCTCTTGCGACACCCACGGTATGAATAAGGGTGTTGACACTCTGTTTTCTTAATCCGTCACCACACGGACCAACAACAACAACACACACATCAACATTTAAAACCCAAAAATAATGCTATAGATCATGATGTATTTAGACCTTATCATTAGTACCTACATAGATGAACAAGGAAAATAAAAGCTCTTTCGAACTACCTATGTATGTTTCGGCGCCAATAGTATGGGCTCTTATCATGACGTCACCGCTTCGGTTTATTCTTGAGATTAGCTTGACTATCTACATTATTATTGGAGAATGTTGCAGGCCGCTTCAAATAATGTGAATTATCTAAATTGAGTAATGAAAACAATGATAACAGAAATTCATCTATTAACTTAATTTGTTACAATGGTTTTTCAAAGGCTAAAGGAAACTGTCAATAAAATTTTCACATGCGTAATTAATTATTAGGCAAATCGAAAATGTTACATATATTTTCGATTTGCCTAATGATTAATCACGATTTGCCTAATACCTATTTACATATTAAATATATTATAAAAAAAAATTAGGGGCTCATGAATAAGTGGTAATCGAGTAGTTTAACACATTTGAAACTTCAGCAATCATATTCAGGTCAATCTATGGACGGGTGACCATTTCCTAACACACTGAGATTCCTACGTGCTTAGGAGAACACGTTAAGACGCTGGACCTGGTTGCCATACGAACATCTGTGGCAATCGTTACGGGTAGTTGAGCCCTAAAAAGTACGACAACAGTCTTTCTACAGAACTTCGATATCGCCTATTTGGTTTGTGGTGGTCTGATCGCAGTCGCTTCTTGTAAAAATCTAAGTTTAGCCGTGTTGTTGGACGTGTTGGACTTAAAGCCGACCCCAAGGCATCGGCTTTAAGTCCTAGGCTTTAGATTTTAGGTCCTAGTTTGGGAAAAATACACTTCTTGAGTGTAATCATGAAATACAAAAGAAGGTCATTGACAAACAAACAAATTTCATTAACATGCAACGTTGAGCACTCTGATTGATATTCGGCGATACGAACAACACGCCTTCGTGACGTCATCTTGTAACTAAAAAAGCCTTTCGCGCCTGCGCCCAACAGAGCGGTCAAGGTCAGAAGCATACTAGCCCCATGGTGTAAAACTAATGTCTGGCCTCCCTGTATATTCTGTCCAGTCACACGGTATATATTTTAAACATTTTCATTTAATTTATTACTTAGTTATTTTTTTTCTAGATATAATGCAATTAAAAACCAAAACCTGAGTACCTGTAAAGTGGGACCCTACTTGTATTACCAGAACTTTATGAAGGATTTATTGTTAACGGTCACAAAATTGTAATCAATGACGTCAGTTCTGTGAAGATTTCTTGTCTTAAGTTGTCCCCAATAATGGCGTTGACAAGCACAACGTGAAGTGCTACACGAACTCTTTAGGTACACAGAATGTTGACATAGTGAAGCTAGGACAGTTGAACAGCTTTTGTACTTATCATTGAAAACTTAAGGATGTACACTTTTGATGGATGTTTGATTTTATTTCGAGTAAAATCACCATGATGATGTAAAACTATATATATTTTATTTATCCGTTTATTTATTACGCTATCAACATCCAAAATATTATTACAAAATAAATATAAAGTAACTAGTCTTAGGGCTAAACACCTCACCATTTACAATTAGGAACATAATATGCACTTATAAATGAAACACTCAACAAAAAATAAATATTAGGAACATAAAAAAGTACACATTTAAAAAATATAAGTAAGAATTCATATATCATTGTAGGATGGCCTCACAAAATGTAGAATTGTAGTATTTAGGTACATTGCAATTATTGACAAAAGCCAAAACATGCAGGTATCCTGTAATAAAATAATTGCCATTTAGGTACTGTCAAACACTAATTTACTAATCTCAAATACGTATCGTATATAACATACATAAATAAAAGAGTAAATTTTTCTACCAAAATTATAAGGGGAAAGTAATTCTGTCTGACTGTTTGATGTGTCTTCACGGCTAAACCGCAAATAAAAAGTAAATAATTGAACTACGCAGCAATCTTATCAAAGATAACAGTGGTAGTGATAACTGTCAAATTTTCAATTTTTTTTTCATGGGCACGAATTTAAAATCAAACTAAAATAATTAAATTTTTCTACGTGTTATCCTTACAAAAACCAGTCACCACTTTTAACAAGCGCCTACTCAACAAGTCACTGCAACCACACACAGATATAAGGTAATCATAAGTATCGAATGGTATCATATTTAGAGGCATCGAAAAGTTTTTGTATTTTTTTTTATTTTAAAGACAACTTCCGCATTAGGAATATATCCTGTGTTGCGGGGACTTTACAAACATACATGAAACGGACACCAAGAACACCCAGACTCAGAACAACAATTTGTGAATCACACAAAGTGGTGTCCCATGTGGGGATCACTTCCCTTCGCGGCACCGTGCGACTAACGTGTGACTTCATATGCTAACAATTTAAATATTGTTTTCTGTTTTTTCTGCGACTAGTTTCCGGGTGGCTAAAGGTTGTGTATAGTGCTTTAAAGAATATCAGTAAGTTTGTATTGTTTTTAAACAGTAATATAGTGCTAAATTATTTTATTACGACTATTGGTGAGTAAATGTATTTTCTTTCTAAAAGTGGATAGGAGGTAGGAGGTTTCTCTGCGTGTTGTTTATTTTTAAACTTGTTCATTTTGAAATTGTTGTTTGGTGTGTCTTTGTTTGGCTATGTCGGTCGTTAGCGAGTTGCCGGACCCCGGCGGTACAAGTGAATTTCTAACACCAACCGGAAAAAGGACATTTAACGAAATGTCACCTACGGATTTCTCGGCGAAAGACAATAGCCGTAAACGCATTATTAATTCGGACTTAAGTGGTAATGTTTCGTCTCCTATCGGTCGTGATAACTGTGGGGAGTACAACTACTGTGACTTAGTGTCACAGGCCACCGATTATTTAGCAAAAATTAATGAATTAGTTAATGATCTGGGATCTTGGATGAATGTAGGTAATAAAACGGCGATTATGGATATTACTCAACGAATTACCGGTATCGTATCCCTGTTAGCAACAAAATCCTTTAGCAACGAAACGAAGTTAGCGAATTTTGAGCGACAAATGGAGGGTATCGCAACTCAACAAACGAGTTTAACGTGCGCGGACAAAGTTAAGCTTCGCTTACCACCTAAATCTGCCGGTAAATCTCCCGGTATCTACTGAAGCGCGCGTTCCTAGGCCTTGTGTTATGCCTATCCTACTACGGAACGCTTAGTGGACTATGCGACCTCGTCAGCAACGAAACAAGCTCTCATGAAGGCTATTAAACCGAGCGATGAGGGTTTCCAAATTGTAGGCATTAAAAAAACCTCTAAGGCAGGCGTCGTATTACGTGTAGCTAATGAACGGCAGCTTAAGAAACTGGAATCTGTAGACGCCATTAAATCAGTAGGGTTACGAATAGAAAAACCGAAAG